TGTATAGTTTCTATAGGCTACTAAATGATATGTCAATCAGTACTGCATTATTCATAAAGTTTATTACCTGGAGATAACTTGAAAAACACACATAAACCGTATATTTTCGCAATCGTGTGTTTATTGTCTTCACGTTTTTTTCTGCTTTTTATTCAGCTCAGCTACAGCGATAGCCGGGTGCTTTTGTCCATATTAGGGTTTGCTGCATGTCATAAGTCATTCCTTCTATGAGTCTGTTTTGGACTTTCTGCACGAGAGCGCCCTCCGGCTTCGAGTATGAATTAAACATACACTGCATGAGAGTGTTGAGCGCTCCAGATATTCACTTCTCATTTTGGATACGAATAAAACGCCAGGTCATGCATAGACTATCGATACTATAGGCTACTTATCAATCCTGTTTTTATCATCATTATAATGAAAAAAATGAATAAATTCAGAACAGGATTATAATATAATTCTATTTTAAATGAGACAGAAATATTTTTTCTACAACAACAACAACAGTAGTGTTTACAACAGCAAAACCACCATACCCTGTAAACTCAATAATAATAATAATAATAATTTAATTCCGTTTCTGTTTTCAGAGTGATTAAGAGGTGCAAAGAAATATTTATTTAACTTTTAAACTTAAAATGGTCTTTTCTGTTCTGTGTTTCTTTTTCAAAACTGTGTCACGTCATTTGCTGCTATCAATACAGAAGCATCCGTTTCAATACACCTATCAGCAAAGAGCACAGCCCTATTAAAAGCCGTGCTCCATGTGCCCCTTTTATGCTTTGTGCACCTGCCCCTCCAAAGGTCTCTGCACGGCCCTGCCAGGCCTAGATGGAATTTCGATTGAAAATGTGCAGGATGAGTTTAAACATAGTACAATGTGTTAAAGGAATAGTTCACTAAAACATGAACATTTGATGAAACTTTATTATCCCTCAGGCTATCCAAGATGTAGATGAATTTGTTTCTTCATCAGAAGAGATTTGGAGAAATGTAGCATTACATCACTTGCTCACCAGTGGATCCTCTGCAGTGAATGGGTGCAGTCAGAATGAGAGTCCAAACAGCTGATAAAAACACCACAATGATCCACAAGTAGTTCACACAACTCCAGTCCACCAATTAACATCTTGTGAAGTGAAAAGCTGTGTTTGTAATAAGCAAATCATCACTGAGATTTTTTAACTTTAATAACTATTGCTTTCTGCACTAAAAAAGTAGTTTTGTCTGAATCACGAGAGACATACACACACATTACAAGTGGAAACAGTTCTAAACAAAGATGCTGGTGGATTTTGATGTGAAAAGACAACAGGGGATGAGCTTTATAAACTCATTCTGACGGCACCCATTCACTGCAGAGGATCCATTGGTGAGCAAGTGATGTGATACTAAATTTCAAGCTCATCTATATCTTGAAAGGCCTGAGGGTGAGTACATTTTCAGCAAATGTTTATTTTTGGGTGAACTATTCCTTTAAAGATTAGATTATAGTCTTAGCTGAAAGCATTCTCACATTAGTCAAAGTATTTAATGAACACATACATAAGCAATGGGAACTTTGTGAATCATGAGCATTTAAGTTCTGCAGAAATCTGATGAGCTTTTTGAGAAATGTGAGTTTTGTGTGGACAGATTGTGTCTAGGCCAGGTCATCACTTCACTTCTGCTATGGGAGTTCAGGGTCTGGCTGCAGACGTACACTCTTGGTTTACACACCTGATGTTAGTGAGGTCATATCCAGTCTTTCAGAGGAAATGGATCCCTTTATCCATTAAGCATGTTTTATTAGATTGTGCTGGTTTTAACTCTGTGAGAACTTTTTTTAGTCAGTTAACTCTTTTGAAGAGATTTTTAACAGTTAAGCTAAATACAGTTTTGGATTTTTTAGCAAAAATAAATTAATAGTTAATTAATAATTAATTAGTAATTCAGCCATAATATTTCTCACCATGAAAATAGCCACAGAAGCTCGAATGGCGTTAAACACAAACAAACAATAAACAGAGGAATTGGAAAGTTACATGGATATTGTTGACAGTTGTGTTGGATTGTTTCAAAAACGTATTGCTTCACAATGTGTAACAAAAAATAAGCAAAAATTCGTACCATGTAGTATGTATGATTTTTAGTAATTTGTCTGTTTTTAGTCTGTGATATTCAAGGAGAAACAAAGTAAATGGTTTGTGCAATTAGCTTGGCATTTCTTTGCAAGCATGCTGAACTTAGACACATTATTTGATAGATGTATTGAATGAATGAATGAATGATGCATTTATATAGCGCTTTATTGTGTATTGCTGTACACCCAAAGCGCTTAACAATCATGTGTGGTGATCTCTCCTCAACCACCACCAGTGTGCAGCATCCACCTGGATGATGCGACGGCAGCCACAGGACAATGGCGCCAGTGCGCTCACCACACACCAGCTACAGGTGGAGAGGAGAGAGAGATAGAGCCAATCAAGTGTATGGGGATTATTAGGAGGCCATGATTGACAAAGGCCAGGGGGGGCAATTTGGCCAGGACACCGGGGTTACACCCCTACTCTTTACGAGAAGTGCCATGGGATTTTTAATGACCACAGAGACAGAGTCAGGACCTCGGTTTAACGTCTCATCCGAAGGACGTTAAACATATTGTAACTCTGTGTAATGCAAAATATATTTTTAAAAATAAAACGGGATTTAAACATTTTTGATTTCGGAATATCAGCCTATTTGCATGTCCCAAATCACCACAGTTATGTTTTAATGCACTTAATTTAATTAAAACTTTGAATTGAAATTATTAAAATATAACACATTGATGTCAGATTTTGGGCCATTTTGTTCTCCTTAGTTCTTTGTTATAAAAGCACAGACTGTAAATGTGGTGTGGTGCAATTATATTTAAGAAATATTTTAATTTGATACATATTATTAATATTTAATATATTAAACTATTGGTACACTGTAAGGCTGTAGACATATATTAATGACTAGGGAAACAGATTTAGAATCAGCCATTAGACGATTTGTATTGTTTGACCACTGAATTTTGCCCTCTTATGGTGGTCCCTACATTTTCTGCCAAAAATGGCACTATTTCTTTAACATAAGCATGCTGTACATTATTATTGACTTTGTCATTAACCCTGAGCTCAACAGTGTAGCTAGACTAAAATCAGGGTATCTTTGACTTAATTGAGCATTCTAGATTTCTCCTCTCTGATTGTTGGCATTGAGTGTGAATATATCACCGCAGCGCCTTCATTTGACTGCTCTTATGTCAGTCATCTCCGGCTGCTGTAATCTTCCACTGGAGATGAACTGCTATCCGCTTCCTTGAATAAAAGCCCAGACTTATTCCTGGAAGGATTCCTCTGCCTGTCGTCTGTAAAGCACGCCTGAGTCAGCTACTAAATTCAGCTTCAGCAAATTTGCCCAACCAGTGGAGTGTTCTCAAGATGAAGAGTCACGTCAAGAACAATTCTTTCTCCTCTGTTGACCATTTGCTCAAAAGAACATAACATTTTCTTTCTATTTGGATTCTTTTCAGGTGTATCTGGTCAAATGAGATTCCAGAAACGTGAAAGAAAGATTCATACACAGTAAATCAAAGGTAATTGAGTGAGACCTGTGATTCAACTTAACCAAGGACATTTACTGTTATACTTTAACTGCCTAAGACACACACACACATATATATATATATGTGTGTATATATATATATATATTTACACATTAACAGTGTGGAGGACAACACAGTAAAATCGAAATGATTGTGCTTTAATGTAGTATCACACCTCCTACAGGCCACATGACAGAACTGCTCATCCATCTATCAATCTATGAGACAAAGTCTTGACACAGTGTGACTTCATTACATAAAATGGCAATAACATGAATATTTACAACCACATGACTTGAGACTTTACAAAATATTATGTGATTATCATCCAAAATAAGCAATCTACATTTACGGGTCTTTTTTCACAAATCTAAGATGTATAAAAGCTATTTAGACAAATACAACTGTCTAAAGCTTGTACTAAAACATGTCTGAAAACAAGATCCTAAAATATTATTTCAGTTGTGAACTAATAATTATTTACAAAGCTCTAAGAACATATAGCTGCATTAAGAGAGAAGTTTGTGCCTCAGTGTCTTCTCTGTGTCCTCCAGCCGTAACCCTCGGATTCAAACGCTCTTTGTCAGCAATCAGCCACCCTGCCAACCGATCGGATGAGAGGAAATCCACTGCATACAGATTTCAACATCAGCTGCCAAACATAATGATCCAAGCTAGAACGGTCCTGAGGGACAGAGCAGTTCCAGCGACACTCACTGGCCGGAGGAGGGCGCTATGGAGCCGCCGTCACCTGCTTCAGTAAATGGCTTCATCTATGTTATCATCACTGTCTCCTCCAAACTCGTCCCCATTGTCAAAGTAGGACATGATGTAATCTGTTTCCTGTTACACATACATAGGATTAATTGGCTAAAACTTGTATTGAATGTTGGTTTAATACAGGTTCACCTCAGTCAATAGCATTTGTGGTATAATATTGATTACTACACAATATTCTAAAAGGGCAAAATCAAGGTTATCCTGAGGAAGTAAATGGGAGATTTTTTTAGAGGTTTTAAAAGCTTATAAGTTTATAACAGCACATAGATTATTTTTTCTTTTAACAATTGTGTATTATTGCAGCTATACTATTAAACTATTGAGTATTTAAATATTCATGAATTCACTTTCATTGTAAGAGTCTCACTGTAACCCAGATTTGACCCCTTTTTTGGTAAATAAAAGGAGGGACAAGTCGAAACAATTATTTTGCAAAACATTTACCACACATACTGTCAATCTATTATTTTAAACTAAAACTCATTAATTGAAATAAAGCTGAAATGAAATATAATGCAATGTGGCCTTAGCAACTAACTGGAATAAAATAAGTTTTAACTGAAGTGCTAAACACTTTTTCACACCACTGTATATAAAAGACAATAGCATATAAAATTACTAAAATTAAATATATATATATATATATATATAAAACAACAATTCAAAATATTAATAATTGGTAACATTTTACAATAAATTTATTTTGTTAACATTAGGTAAGTATATTAATATACATGAGCTATCAATGAAAAATACTTGTAAAGCCTTTATTAACCTTTGTTGATATTAATTTCAACAATAACTAATTATTAAAATTAAAACTTGTATCTGTTAATATAATTTAATGGACCTGAGCTAACATGAACTAACAATGAAGTTATATTTTTATTTTAACTAACAATAACAAAGATTAATGAACACTGTAACAATTTCGTACTTACTGCTAGTTAATGTTAGTTACTGCATTAACCAATGTTAACTAATGGAACCTTGGTGTAAAGTGTCACCGATAAATCCTAGTATAAGAGTATATAAAAAATACTAAAATAACACTGCTGCCAGTTGTGGCTTTCTGGTATTAAACCTATAATATTCCTTTAAGCTAAAATCAACTGGACTTAAATTAAATTAAAATTAAAATTAAATTAAATGTACATTTATGCATTTGACAGATGCTTTATCCAAGTGACTTTCAATGCATTCAAGGTATACATTTGATTGAAATTATAAATGTATTAAATTATAAACTGCAGGTCCTTTTTTCCATTTCTTTACTTTCCCTGTTGATCTTGATCAAACATACTGGCTTAATATCACAACAGAATGGAATAACTTACATCCTCAAATTCCTCCTCATCATACCCTTCCTCTCCCTCAGCCTCTTCCTCTTCTGGCTTCTTTTTCTCTCCCTCCTCTTCATCAGAACTCCCGTCTTCCTCTTTCTGCTCCAGAGTCTGAATAGAAACACACACATTCTGTTCATATGCACATTATATCTGTGAATGTGTAATAAAGTAGATTAAAACTCTTTATTTTTGAGTGCTTTACACATTAACGGCACCCTAAACAGGTATTTGTGCACCTCCAGTTTGCGTATGATCTCCTCTTTGTCCACTCGTGGCTGTTTGGGTTGTTTGGGAACAGCTGGGCTTTCTGCAACCATATAAGCAAAACCGTGTTTGTGACTGTGGAAATGACATCAGCAACATCCTCCCATAATAACATCAACTCATGACACGGCATCACAATATGGTAAGGGGCGTAACATTTCTGTCACACGCTTGAGGTATTCGGCCAATCACAATGCACTGGATAGCTGGCCAATCAGAGCACACCTCGCTTTTCAGAATGATGAGCTTTGTAAAAATCGACGCGTTTCAGAAAGGCGGGGCATAGAGGAGAAACAATAATGTACATTATGTGAAAAATAATGTGTTTTTTTAACCTTAAACCGCATAAACACATTGCATTACACCAAATACACAACATAATGTTCTTTTTAGCAAAGTCATATGCCCCCTTTAAAGATGTCAGAGCTCATCTTTGACGCCGAACTGACCTTTCTTGGGTGCAGCTGGACGGATGTAAAAGGGAAGCGTCTTCATGGCTCCTCTGAACTCCTGTTTGAGTGCCAGCATGTACTCGGCCTCCTCACCCGTCTGCAGGGGCACCGGCTTCTGAGCCAAAGGCTGAAACATCAAACAGAAGTGAGGAGGGATCGCTGATACACATCTGTCTAGTATCAGGGGTCAAACAAGCACCTGTTGGGACAGTTCACTCCAGAGGCAGACAGTAACTAGTACATTTACTTGAGTATTGTACTTTAAGTACATTTTTTAGTTTCTGTACTTTGAGTATTATTTTT